TATGTTTTCCAAAAGCGGGCTAGATCATCAGGTGTGATAAGGTTCATGAGATAGAACGTGTGGATGCCATGGAAATACTTGGAATGTATGGCCCCTTCCTCCTCTAATGTGTTTGAGCTTATGTTTGAACAATGAGGAATCTTTTTCCAGTTTGTAATACCTGCATTGATAGAAATATTTTTTTTATTAAAACCATGATGCAGCAAAATTTTCTTTCTTTTTCTAATAAGAACTATTAACCATTTGGCCACTACTTCACCACAAAAACTTTTATCTAGATTATTGTCATAATCTAGACTTACTATAGCTATTGTCCACTGCACCATGTAATTACAGCTCATTACGTATAACAACCTAAAGAGAAAAATATGAAAAAGAATGATAAAGCTATTAAGTAATAGAATGCTACAAACTTCATATCTTATCATTCTCATGCTTAAATCATAAGAACTAATGTTATAGATATTAATTTTATATTTTTAATTCCTGCAATACATAAAAGGTTATTTATAGTATTTATGGTTTATTTTTAATCAATGCAGCCTAATCTATGTTCCTTCTAAATTATTGTCTTGGTGTGTATATAAGTATAATCTGGAATATAAATGAACTTAAACACCTTGTAAAAAATTTATACCTATGGTATTGTTTAAAGAAAAAGAATGTCACATACCATCCCTACAAGTTGTTCAGCATCCATGGCAAATGCCAAGGTGGTAGCAGTCACACCAGTCAGAATTGTGATCTTCACTGGAACTTGTGTGCATTTATTTATTCTTACCGGATATCATTACAGGTTTGTCTACAAAAGATATACCTGAATGAATTAATATTAAACAACATTTGTTATCCATCTGGGTTTGTATTATTATGTAACATAAATATCGGAAAAATAAAATACTGAAAGGAGAAAAACCTGCAAATAGGAATAATTTCATCTTCCAAATCTCTTGTCCATAATAACCACTCATTTTGGACTGATGTAATTGGATGAACAGCATGAACCCTTCTAATTGTTGAAACAGATGATTTTGATAAGCCTATGTACTTCACTTTGCCTTCCTCTACCAATCTTCAACTCTCCCATCTGTTGATTACTGTTTTTCACACACACAAAAAGTGTTAAGAAAAAGCTCAATCTTTCCATGTCTGACATACAAGTTGATATAGAAAAAAAAACCAAACTAAGAAGTAAGTTGAATATGTAGCTTTGATAGAGTAAAATGTTGGTGATTTAGTGTCACCATATCATTTTAAGTAACTGGAACTAACATGTGAGCTAAGGGGATTCATGATTTGTACTCTAATATATGTACGGGGTTGTGCGGAGTGCACGCATGTATAAGATCGAATCAGAAGCCGGTTCGACGACTAGTCGGGGGTCCGGGGTTTCCAAAGGGGCAGCGCCCCTAGCGGGGTCCAAGGGGCAGAGCCCCTGGCTGGGGTCCCAAAAACCTCACCGAATTTTGCATGTGGGAACATAATGGAAAACTCAATTTCTTGAGGGTGATTATGGTAAAACTAACGAAACTCGTTAGTTTTGGTAACCCTAATCCGGATTAATATTACTTGCTTCCAAAGCAACTAATGACGGCCCAACCTTAATGAAACCCTAATCGTGTTTAATATATAAACAACTCTTCCTTTCCAGAAGGGGGTGACGTTCTTGAGCTCTCGTTTTTCATCACACATTCACAGAACCCTTTAGCATATTGGCTTACGTTTTAGTGCCTAGAAACGTAAGTGTCCACTTGGATTATCCTAGGCTGAATTTCTTGTAACCCAGGCATAGGGTAGAAATATCAGTTCGGAAAGTGATATCACGATCCAAGTTGGTATCCAGATCTCCACTACTAACCCTAACATATCCAACATAAAAGGTGCTTGAATAATCAGTTTAATGATGACAAAGGAGGGTGTAAACATTTCATCAAACACCTATGGTGCAACAGCACACACATTTCAACTAATACAATCAAGTAAGTGTATTGACCAAATATGAACTATTGAAGGTGGAAAGAAAATCTATTTATCAACTCAAATGCAAATTGTTTAGTCATGGATATGATTTACTGACCTTGTCGTTTGGCATAAAATTTGTATCCTATTGCATCCTTTTATTCTGTCTCAAAATCCGCCTAAAACCCAAGAGGAATTTCGAACCAACAGTTAGGTATTTAGACATTGGGGCAGCAGGAAGAGGCAAAGTCGTGAAGGGTAGTAGTGTACAAAGTTTGTAATGACAGGTGAAAAAGGAACGAACGGATACGCACCTGGTGCCTTGTGGAATAGCAGATGATTGGAAACGAACCTTTGACGGGGTGATTTACCCAAAATGGGTAAAGCCTAAACGAAAACTGAAGAAGAATATGAGAAAAAAAATCACCTGAAACGGAGCGGCGACTTGTAATCGACCCTCGAAGGCTTGGTTGACGATACGTAGAACTTCAAAACTGGAATATGGAGAACACATGAGAAATCTGAAGAACTGATATTTAGAGCGAAGATGTTGCAGAAGCTCGATTTCTATAGTAGGATAGATGATCATGGAAACGGTGGATGCGTGGACTTAACCAAGCAATTCGTGTAAATAGAAGACACAGAAGGAGATATCCCAATCAGTGAAGATGCACGTGGATTCATGAAAAAGGGGCAATTATGTGTAATAAACAAACCTCTGAGAAGCTTTGAGAATGACAACACAGGTGCCTCAGTTGACCTTTTCCGCCCTGCATCATCAATTGGAAGAATCGATTCAGTAATAAATTACAATTTCCATTGAATAACTTCGTCGATAGGAGAAATCGAAAACCGTACCTTGAACAAAAAATAGGAAGAACGTCATGGAAGACATCGTGTATGACAACGGTTGATGTTTTTGTGGGTGTGTCACGGGTCGTTCGGTCGAGAAGACCGATATCAGGTTGAGGCGGCAACGGGATAGATGGCGGCCGACCCTGGTGGATTGGTATTCTTATGATAGTATGGCGAGAAGACGGTTGAAACAATTGTGATGCAGAGAAGGCGAGGATAGTATGGCGGTGGACTAAACGTGAATGAAGAGAATATGAGAGGATGAAGAAGAATCGAGAATAAAGCGGTGGAGTGGAAACCAGGAAGATAAAGTGAGCGGAAGGATCGGGAACAAAAAGCCTAACCATATGGTGACCCGAGGAACAGTGCCCTGGTCAGGTACTGTTCCTAACTTTCATTTCCTTAAATATATACACAAAACATCCGCAAGATACCAACCATAAATAGACATGGGACCAATTCTGTTATTTAATATATATAAATTAAAGAAGTGACACACAAACAAATATAAAGGGACCGAAAATGTAATTCAATGGACGAAAGCTGGACAAAATGTGTCAAGTTAATTGTTCCTTTTCTCCACAATTTTAATATATATATAATAATTCTATTTTTTATGAAAACTAGTTTAATTCGTCATTAATGTTAACAATAACATTCTTTCAGAATGAATTCACAACTAGGTTTTCATGTATAGGTTTGTGTTTTGTTTATGGACCTACTCACTTGAAATACAACAAAGTTGCATTGAATATACACTCTCATTCTGTTACAATATATTTTCATTCTTCTAGAATAAACTTTCATTCTAGTAGAATACACTATTGTTCTCCATATTCTTGGCAACTTTGTTCTATTTTGAGTGAGTGAGTCATGAAACAAAATACGAACTCATACATGAAAAACTAGATGCGAATTCATTCTGAAAGAATATTATTGCTGATATTAATGACGAATTTAATTAGTTTCCATAAAAAAATTATAATTATAGATATCATTTAATATACATCTAATTATGGAAATCATTTAATATCTATATTTATTTGATTAAATAATAATTTAATTTTTTACTAAATTTTTATTGGTGCATTCTAACACATAATAGATGTGAGAAACATTTGAACCTCTCTCTCTCTCTCTATATATATATATATATATATATATATATATATATAGTTTTTAATATTTGCAGAAAATCTATTTTTACACTTTTGTTGGATTCTTTTCTAAAATGGAAACCTGAAAAGATCATATTCAGAAACTAATTTTCAAGTAAATTACATGAATGGTACTTATCATTGAGGTAATTTATTTGCTTGGTCTCTAATTTTTTTTTTTGTAAAACTCACTCTTCCTTAAACTTTGTTTTGTTGTGTCTTTTGTTCCATTAGAAAAAAAAATAGTTTTAGCCTTATATATTTTTTCAACATTTATTTATTTGTTATTTAGTTGTCTCTTAATTCATACCAAGATCTGAAAGGTATGTTGCCTCTAACAACATATACTTGAGAAAGTAGGTTCTCCGGCTACTCAGGGTGATGACGGGTGGTTCACGGAGATGGCAGTGTTGGTTGAGTTCCATGCAGGCGGTTCACTAAGACAGTGGTTGATTTCCATGCCGATGTTGAATTCAACTAGCACTATGGATGCCTCGATGGTATAGTGAGATGGGGTCGAGAAAATGGTTTCAAACTCTTGGAAAGGTTGTGGTATAAGATATCTATTATCTCGTGGTTTTGATAGAGGGAAATTAAATAAAAAACTATTACAAACCATAAAACCATAAGGACAATTTGTGTAATTTACTCTTTAGTTTTTAAGGTATATCATTTGTCAAAATATTTCAAAATCTTTACTCTTTGAGCACGTCTCATTTTTTAGAACTTTCATAAAGTTTAAGGAATATTCCAAATCAAAAACATAGGTTGAATAATAAAGTTTTTCCAAAAAAGTGTTCAGTAGAAGAGACTTCAATAAAAGGTACAGGGCTTTTGCAATTTTTATAAGTTCATCATACAAAAGCCGAAGTTTTATAACACTTATATATATTTTATAAAAAAAAAAAACTTGTTATTTTTACAAAATCACATTCGATCTATAAAAGATAAAATAATAATGTTCATCAAGATTACATTTAACTTGAAGTGATTAAATGTAATCTCACATAATAAAATAAAGTTGCTGGATTGCAAAAGACGTCTGATTTTTTGTTTATTAATCATCAAAAGTTGGATAAACAAACGTTTCGAGTTTTTGTTTTAGAAGCATAACTAAATTGAAAATAATTACGGGCACTTGTTTCAACAAGAAAAACTAGTTACACACTCAAACCCAACGAACTTCTAATTGACTTTATCCTTTATCCGACAATATTATCTTAAAACCTACAAATTTAAGTCTTTAGCAACAAGAAAAACTAGTTATCCACAAGACCACAGCCTTAAATGATCAAAGACATTATGCCGTTGCCATTTTTGTACCCTCCTCATTATTAACAAGGCTTTCCTTCCTTTCACCATCATTATTCACTCCATCTTTTCTCTGCACGATATAGATAGAGTTTTTATTTTCCAAGCATATTTAATTATTTATTTTGTATAATTTAATCAATATAAATAAATGGGAGAATTTCCTCCAAATAGATTATTTAATATAATTAGGAAGGATAATATACATTAGAGTCACTATATTTTGATCATTTTGTGGTTTAAGCACCATATATTATTTTGATCAATAAAAATCGCCCATTTTTTAAAGAAATTTCACTATATAACCACCTATTTACAACTTGGAAGGTTATAAAGTGACACATTACTTTTCATTTACCTACGTTGACATCATATGTGGTTCATGAAATAATATTTTACTTTCTAAAGTGATTTTTTTTGCCAATTTAGCAGGTTATACGCATATCACGTAGGTAATGAGAAATCATATCAGAAAGTTGGATTTTATTTTAGGAAATACATATGATATCATGTAGGTATACGAGAAACCATGTTAGTTTTAACACATGTTAAACATACAATAGATTGCCATAGTGGTCGCATATAAGATTTTTCAAAAATATATAGTAGTTAAGAAACAAAAAAAAAAAAAAAAAAAAAAAAAAAAATCAAAATATAATGACTTGATGTATATTGTGGTTGGTTTTAAAACTAAAAAACAATTTGTTTGAAATTTAAATATACAAAAGTGTCAACGAATGCACACCTTGAAAGTAACTCCCACAGATATATCGCCGGTGTAAGATTTGTCCTCCCGGACCACCCTGTATTTCCGACTTCCGAGCTTTGCATCCCCTTTCTCCATCCCCATTAAAACAACATCCTTTACATGAATCCTATATATACACCCATTCAGTCCAATGTAATTGGTCACATATCTTATGCTAAAGCAAAGCTTATATAAATAAAACTAAGACAAACAAAATAATAAATTAGTCTTTAACGTTCTTACGTAGCGTCACCAACATATCCATCATCGGAAAGTTTATGTTTGTCCATGACACGAAACACAAGCTTTTGATCCAACTTCTTTTCATCCGTTGGATAGTCAACCACAAACTCGAACTTTTGTTCCCATATGGATTTCTTCCCTTTTCCTACATTAATTCCAATTATTCCATCTTTTTCATGTCAATAAATGCAATAAAAACAATGAAAACGTTATTCGACATACTTAATTAAGCCCTACCTTGAGCGACTTTGCTTACGCGCTTTTTATCCCCGTATTCAACACATACATACGGTCTATTAACAGCCGAAGTACTGCAACAAACTACACAACCTGAAATCAAAAACAAAAACAAAAACAAAAACCCACATTAGGAATTGAAGTTCCAGTTCCCTTAACTCAGTTGGTAAATACAGTATACTAGTGATAGATCTTATTCTTACCGAGAAACCTTTTTGCTCTAATGCCTTCGGAATCCACTAGCATCACCTCCAATACTCCACCACCTGCCATCGCTATATTTCTCTATCTTCGGACACACTGTCAACACTAGTCTTGATCAATCACTAATCAATGGAGAGAGAAGATAGTTGCAGGTTTTGGATGAGAGGATATTTATATAACGTCAAAGGAGGAAGTTACGGAGACGGTGGTGCTAGCGTGTTTGACGTCTTGTTGTAAGTCGTCACGTTGAATAAGAAAAGGAAAGCCATCGGAGTTGGAGTTGGCTTACTATACGCATTGAATTTAAAAAGTGAAGGTACTGATTGAGGACTTATGCATGTAGGCTGGCTGTAAACGATTCAACTTGTACTAGAAGATACTAATATAATGTGATGGAGTGGTTGGATGAAACATGTGCAGTTTTTTTTTTCCAATTTATATAACTATTGAGTTTTCTTTTTATAATTAAGAGTCAATTCTAAATTTTGTCTAGTGTATAATATTTTTAATTGTTTTTAATATTAGTTTAACATTAATAATTTATAATGATTTAGCGACCATTTCTCAGTTTCGTTTAAATCAGAACGTTAGGTATCGCGACGTCAAGAGTTTTTGGTCTTTTAATAATCTTTCAGTGTATATATATAATTTTTTTTATCTTGAGGAAGACTATATGTAAGCATCTTAAACTTGGGATTAGTAAGACCTTAATAATTCGACACAAGTGTATTAAAGTGTTCATAATAGAAGTTTTTAGGAGTTTTTTCGATCTAATAAGCTAATGAAATTTGAAAAGGCTGTTGTAAAAAGTTTTTCAAACACATTTTGTTTTCAAACTCTTGCCATGTGCTTTTTCAATGAGTTTATCCAATAAGTTTCAACCAATTATAGATAGACAATTTATACGAACAACACATAAATAAGCAAATTTAAATAACTCTCGTATTATGGAGATATAATGACTTTTTATGAAAAAAATTCACTAATAAAACGGATGCTCCTAGTTAATAGTCGTTAATTTGTTTGTTTATATATTAGCCTTTGTGTATAAGCCCAATTGTTGTATATCAGTAATAGCTTATCATATCCGGTCCATGTGCCTTTATTGTTTGTATTTATATTCATTGTATTGTACATTCAAGGTAATGAGAATATTTGAATTCCATTCCATATCATGGTATCAGAGAAACCCTCTTAAATTTTCTTATTTCCCTCCCTCCTTCCTTATACAAGCGGACAGCCACCATCTCCCACATCTAAACCCTAATTTTCTAGCTCCGTCTTCTCGCCACCATGGTTGCCCCTAACCCACCTCACAAAGTATTTTGTGTTACAAATATAAAACTGATGTCCCTCTCATCCTTAATCTTGAAAGTTTGAACTATGATTCTTGGCAAGCATTATTCACCACACATTGTGAAGCTTACGGTCCATATAACATATTGATGCCTCATATGATGATATGAATCGAAGGGGAATCGACTACAACTGGAAAAAGGTGGATGTTGTTGTAAAAGGAAGGATTTATTCCACCCTTTCACAAAACCTACTCAATATGATTCTCAAGAAAGACACGCTTGCTCGGCACATTTGGCTCAACATTGAGAGACTTTTTCATGATAACAAAGACACGAGGATTTTAAATTTTCTGAGTAACAACTTTTTCATATTAACCCCCATCCCTGATTGGTTAAGTAGAAAATCGTCCATTGCAATTTTAAGAGAAGCCAACGAGCAACACCAACAAATTGCCCATTTGTTGTTCTTGCGTGTTAAGCTCGCTAATGGTGTATCCGGGCCGGACGACTAGCCTAGCCCAATATTGTCCCGTAAATAACGGCCTAGCTGGCAATAGGTTCATACCGACCCGGTTGACTGCAATCCACCCCACAAATCGACAAAAGACAATTGTTGGAGCTTGACCCAAAGGAAATATCAAAGCATAACGGATGAGAAACAATATACAAGACATATCCCATAACTCACGCATACATAAGATCTTGGCAATAAAATATAAAGGTTGTACAACCAGTTGGCTGTCTTTACCCGCGTAATAAAGAAAGACCGGACAAAACCAAATACCCAAAAATAAAAAGGGCCTATAAAAACCCTTGAAGAATAAACATGAAGGTAAATTCTCATGAGGACTCTTTGCAATTCATTTCGTAAGCCTCATATGACTTCTAACTTAGGCATTGGAGAGGAACAATTGGGTCCAACCCTTGGTGTGGCTTTCTAACCTAGAGTTGTCCACTTTTACAGCGTATCTTCTGGAATACGTGTCGGGAAAGGGAAGATGAACACCATTTACCAAAGTAGAATCACGTAGAACATTGCCTCCATCCGTATTATACATGTAAATGCGATGAAAATGAATTCACATCGCCGGTTCAAGAAGCTTATTCACTCGACAGTATAAAAAAAGCAATACAACATGCATACATAGAATGTTTGGTGCACAACAAACCCAAAAAACTCAAATACAGGGTGATGAACCAATCCTAATATATGGACATATCCATGAAATAGGTATACATCAGATATATTGTGATAGCAGAAGTTCAATTGAAATAATGCATGACCACTGTTTCTCAAAGTTGTCGGAGGCAATGAGAAAGAAGATTAAACAACCTGACGCGCATTTGACAAGTTTCTCCAGGCATTCAATATGTTCCTTTGGGATATTATCTCTGCCACTAACCCTACATGACCATCCATGCAGTCCAAGAACACTCAGATGCTAGATTTCACACGATAATATAATCATCATCACCCTACAATATAATATTCGGGAGAAGTGCAATGAAAAAAATTGAGGTCATTGCATCAACAATTCTTAATCAGGTTCCGGACCCCAAAAGGGTATGGAACGGTATATAGAAAACCATTGATCGCAACTACAACAAAACTAATAGCAAAAAAAGCAGAACCAATTGCAGGAAAGCCACAATTACCGCAAGATGGAATAGAGATTGTTACAGTAAATGATGCATACCCGGAACAGAGAATACGGATAGGAGCAACATTAACAAAAATGCTAAGTGAAGAGTTAACAAAATTTCTAAAGAAAACTAGCGAAGTGTTCTCTTGGAATCTAGCTGACATGGTCGGAGTGCCAAGAGAACTGATCGAAAACAAGTTGAATGACAAAACGGGAATGAGACCAATTCGACAGAAAAAAAGAGGCCAATCAAATGAAGAAATAAGGTAATAAATGATGAGGTAGATAAGTTAGTAAACGCCAGTATAGTACAAGAAAGAGGATGGACAATGGAGGATGTGTGTTGACTTCACTGACCTAAACAAAGCATGCCCGAAGGATTGTTACCCACTACCATCCATAGACGAAAAGATAGAATCTTTAGACTGGCACAAATGGAAAAGCTTCTTGAACGCATATAAAGGATATCATCAAACTCACATGTATAAAGGGGATGAAGACAAAACTTCATTCCAAACGGACAGAGGAACTTTTTGCTATAACAAAATGTCATTTGGGTTAAGAAACGCAGGGCGACATACCAAAGGCTAGCGGACAAAGGTTTTGAACCACCGATCGGCATGAATATAGAAGTATATGTGGATAACATGGTCATCAAGATTTGAAACGACGATCTCTTCTTACAAGACATCGAGGAAACTTTTGCAAATCTAAGAGTCGTTAGCATGAAGTTGAACCCCAAGAAATGTCTTTTTGGAGCAGAAGAATGGAAATTCCTGGGGCATGTGATCATGAAGGAAGGGATAAGAGTAAACCCAGAGAAGATAGAATCTTTATTGCAATTGTGATCATCGAAGACAGAGAAAGAAGTGCATGCATTAAACGATAAATTAGTGGCATTGGGACGGTTCGTAGAGAAGTCAGCGGAAAAGACATTACCCTTTTGTAAAATGTTAAAAAGGGTACTATATAAAAAAGATTTTCGATGGACGTATGAAGCAGAAGTAGCCTTCAAAAAACTTAAAATAGCATTAACGGAACTACCTACTTTAACATCACCAGTCCCAAGGGTATATTCTGACAATTTACGTAGCCACGTCAAAATTGGCAGCAAGTGCAGTCTTAGTAGCTAATAGAGGAGAAAAGCAAGTACCTATATATTTTGTTAGTTGTATCCTACAAGGAGCAGAAATAGGGTATTCAAACATGGAAAAATTGGCATTATCACTGGTTAACGTGACAATGCAATAAAGAAGATACTTCCTCGCACATACAATAGATGTCCTAACCAACGCCCCGATAAGGCAAGTTCTATTGAAACCTGAAAAATCAGGACGATTAGCTAAATGGGTCATGGAATTAGGAGAGCATGAGATTAACTTTAAACCATGAACCAACATTAAGGCACAAGCATTAGCAGACTTCATAACAGAAATAACATGTAATGGGGAAGTATCAACAATAGAGGGGCCATATATCAAGAATAAAGACACTGGGCAGACTCAAAAAGAAGAATATATTTTGCACACTGATAGAACTTCTTGCATCGAGGGAGAGGGTGCCAGCTTGATACTAATGTAACGTCCCAAATTCCAGAATAAAGTTTATCATTTTTGAACTAGAATAACCACCCATTTTATAAAGTTACATTAACAGTCAAACCATTTGTTCATAAACCATAATTCAAGATCAGAGCTATAAGGAAAATAATGCAGAATCTCGAATCATAAAACCGTTAATGTGTGTGTGTACAATCCCGCCTTCGCAGTCCGATAAGTACCTGAAAAACATTTGAAACCATAACTGTAAGCCAAAGCTTAGTGAGTTCCCCCAAAATTCCCCACACAGCAATACATATACAATGCATGCACACCGGGCCTGCATCATAAGACTGGATTGCCCCCGCCCGATCCCACAACTTATGACTGGATTACCCTCGAGCCCGCAGCTTATGACTGGATTTCCCTCAGGCCCACAACATAAGACTAGATTGCTCCCGGGTTTGTTGACCCATAACACAAAGCAGTACCGCCTCAACCTAACCGCACTATGTTGACATATACACCAAAACAATAACAGCAAGCACAAGTAATCATAGCAAATCTACCAGTCTAACAGAATTATACAGCATAACAACATCCTACACACAAGGACACATACTACAATACAAAGTATATTGAGAAAATTCACCTGAGCTAACTAGAAGAAGCTCACAACAAACCTCAGTAATCAGAACAGCTAACACAAGCTATCTAGCACCAAACCGAGACTAGATCTTAGCTAAACACTAAATTCTACCAATGTTTGACAAAAAGTCAAACTTGTCAAAATGTCAACAGTCAAAGTCTCCCAGTCAGCCGCCATATAGTGACCGAGCTTCTGTCACCTCGTGGTGGC